GGGGTTAGAGGTTGTCCAGGGTGACGGGGTTAGAGGTTGACCAGGGTGACCGGGTTAGAGGTTGTCCAAGATGATCTAGGCATTGAGGGGCTTGTGGAGCAGGCTCTCTAGCTGCTGTGAGAAATGGGTGAGCTCTGGGGACGAGAGTCTGAGACTGTCCCTCTTTGCCCCAAGAGGAGAGAGTTCCCGTGGGTGCCAGTGAGAACATGCCATGAGGTCGGATGAGGGCGGCCGACGTTGGGGTCATCCGCCATCCAGGCCCCCCGTTCTGCATCAGAGGTGCCACCACTGTCATGTTCTGGCCTCGTTACAATATCCGCCTGGTCCCCCTCTGCAGAGCCTGTGCCCGAGGGTCTCCCAGGACAGGACAGGAGTCAGCCCAGGCCAAGAGTCTGGCCCAGGCCCTAAACCCATCAGAGAAACTCCCAGCCTGAAGGTCTTCTGGGACCTGTTCCCACACCCGAGGCACATTAGGCCTCTTTTTAGCTTAAGGGAAAACTGCAAAACTGTTAGAGGCCCAGGCCCATGGCCCACCCAGAGCGGTTTCATTCAGCCCCAGGTTCACTCCCAGCCTTGCTGGTCGGCGGCTTTCTCTGGCACCTCCAACTGCCCTTGCCAGCCCCTGCCGGGCGCCACTCACTGACCCCTGACTCCCACTTGGCTTAGACGACCCCAGCTCACCCTGAAGCCAGTGATTCTGAGACTCCCCTTTATTCAGCAGTGTCCCCATGTGGCGCTGACACAACACGTAGACATTCTCACGGTTCCAGGCTCTGAGGCCAGAAGCCCCAGCATCTTCCTCTGGGGACATGTGGTGTTGGCTCCCGTCTGAGTGACAAGGTTCCAGTTGAGGTTTTCCTTTGGGAAAGTTGTTCAGGCCCCATAAAATTCGCCTCAGGTGAGGGGTGCAGGAGGGGGCCCCCTGGGGCAGCTGTGTGTGCCAGCCAACCTCACAAGCCCAGCTGCCCTCCTCCTGGGGCCTGGATGGCACCCTGAGGGGAAGCCCAGCAGTAAGATCAGGGCCCAGGACCACGACTGGGAGCCCAGGACTCAGAGCACTGTCCTTGCAGATCCCAGGTGAGGGTCCCATCCTAGACTGAGCTCAAACACTGTCCAGAAGCAGGTCTGTGCTCACCTGCACAGGTGTCCCTGCAGGTGCCTGACTGGGACACGGAGGAGAGGAGACAGCCATCTGGGACAAGCCCTGGTTCTAGCATTTATGATGCCTGTGGGCAGGGAGGAGACGCAGGGGGAGCGAGTTGTTCTGAGATGAGTCAGGTTCCGAGAGCCCAGCCATGGCCCACTCAGGTCAGCCAGCCTGAGGATGTGGCACAGGTGCCTGAGGCCAACCAACCTGCAGAGCACCTGTGTCCTAGGCAGGGCTGAGGGAAGGAGCCCACTCGAGGGTTTCTGAGAATCACCCCAAATTCAGGAGCCTCCACGGCCATGGAGACTCCCAGGGGCTGTTCCATTCTGGCTTGGGGTCATCTTTACCATGAGGAGCCAGGTGTGGACCTGGTGACCCTTCCTGCTGCGGCGAGAGTCCTGGGTCTGAGTGCAGACACCCAGAGGGGCTGGAGAGGAAACCCACGTGGGGCCGGGAAGCCTGGTCTCCATACCTACCCTGCCCCAAATGCCCACGTTGCTGTGTTAGCTGGGACGAGCTGTCTAACAAACTGGGACTTGGTTTCCACATCTGTGACTGGCGAGGCTGACCCGGGGTCCCCTGAGGGTCCTCACACTGTGGGTGCAGAGAGTAAAGTCAGGTCTGGATGGCTGCTGTCCTGCTGAGTGG